AAGTTGCCCAGGCGGGTCTCGAACCCACGGGCTCATGCAATCCACTAACCTCAGCCTCCCAAAGTGCTGGGATTACAGGCTGAGCCACCAAGCCCGGCTCAGTAGGTACTTTTTAAAAGTTTTTTTATAGACAGGATGGGCTGGGTGTCGTGGCTCATGCCTGTAATCCCAACACTTTGGGAGGCAGAGCTGAGAGGATTGCCTGAGTTCAGGAGTTCAAGACCACCTTGAGCAACTTGGCAAGACCTCATCTCTACAATAAAATAAAATAAAATAAAATAAAATAAAATAAAATTCTAGGCATGGTGCTGTGTAGTTCCAGGTACTTGGAAGGCTGAGGTGGAAGGATCACCTGAGCCCAGCAGATCGAGGCTGCGGTGGCTGTGAGCATGCCATTGCACTCCAGCCTGGGTGACAGACCTGAGACTCTGACTTAAATAAATAAATAAATAAAGTGTAAGTTCTGGCTGTGTCTCTAGACTTTAAGCTCCTGGGGACAAGGACTGCCCATTTTCGTCAGTGCTATATATGCAGTGTTTAGCACAGTCTCTGCTGATGTTAAGGACATATCCAATAAGTGTTTGTAGAGTAAATAGATGAATTCACAAAATGCATGTGAGAACCAAACTTTCTTTTCACTGGATGGTGCCCACACACAGAGAGATACCCGGAGACAAACATGCCCTGTGAGTGCTCTGTAGTCATTTGAATAAGTTTTCACAATGGGCACAAGAACTTGTTTCAGGGTCTACTTTATTGGTTTGGCTTCTCTTGTGATCTAAGCAGGGTGAGGCTGGAACTGAGTAAGTGGAGGGCAGAGTCCAGTCCTGAGCTTGGTTTGCTCAGAGTCACCGGGACCTGGTGAGAGGGGAGAGAGAAGAGGAAGTGGTGGACAGGAGCAGGGTCATTGTAGCAGGGAGGGTCATCGTGAACTTAGAGTCAGCCAGGCAAGTTTATCCTGGCTCCCAGCCATTGTCAACCACTCCTACCTCCAAGTCACCTTTTTATTGATACTTCATCAAAATAACCCACAAAAGCACAGAGACAGTTCCCCACCTTCCGAGGGAGATTTTCTCACTCTCTTCTCCATCGGTCTGTCATGTTCCTTTCCCCTCACATCCCCCACCCCAAGGTTGCTGGCCCAGATGTACCCCCTCAACCTCTCCCCCACTGCCCAGCACCAGAGCCTGAGCGTGTCTTGGTTTCTGTGCCTCGGTGTCTGCATGTTGAACAAATGTCCTGTCTCACCCTTCAGGAGGGTGGGTTGATCTCTCCATAATGCTGAGTCCCTCGGTTCTGGGACGCAATGGGTACGTAGAAGGGTTTCCTAGCTGGCAAGTGAAGAGACCACTGAGGTCAGCAGTGGCTACAGAGAAGGGCAACGTGTCTCCAACTACTAGGGGTCCCATCACCGGGAAGATGCCAGGGCCTAAGTGTACAGAGGGAAAGGTGAGAGCAGCATGGGCAGCTGAGCTGGTGCTCAGGGGTAGGCAAGAGCTCCTAGAGGACCTTGAGGAGGAAAAACAAGTGGTCCTGGTAGCAGCCAACACTGCTGAGCGTTACTGTTACTAATCCTCAGATGTGGCCCCAGCTGCCCACGTGCATTATCACCTATCTGTCTGTCTGTCTGTCTCTCTCTCTATCTCTATTTTTTTAAATTTATTTAAGACACAGGGTTTCACCCTGTCACTCAGGCCTTGAACCTCTGGGCTCAAGCAACTCTCCTAGCTGGGACGACAGGAGCATGCTACCACATCAGGTTATTTTTGTTTTTTTGAGTCAGAGTCTCACTCTGTCTCCCAGGATGGAGTGCAGTGGCATGCTCACGGCCACCGCATCCTTGACCTGCTGGACTCAGGTGATCCTTCCGCCTCAGCCTTCCAAGTAGATGGAACTACATGTATGCGCCACCACGCCCGGCTAACTTTTTTATTTATTGTAGATGAGGTTTCGCCAAGTTGCCCAGACTGGTCTTGAACCCAGGGGTTCAGGCAATCCTCTTACCTTGGCCTCCCAAAGTGCTGGGATTATAGGTGTGAGCCACCACACACGGCCTTATTTTTGTTTTTTGTAGAGACTAGGTCTCATTATGTTACCCAGGCTGGTCTTGAACTCTTGGCTCAAATGATTCTCTTGCCTTAGTCTTACAAAGCACTGGGATTACAAATGTAAACCACCATGTCTAGCCAAGCCACATTATCTTATTTAAACTTCACAACATACTTGACTCAAAATATTTGTTAAAAAAAATAGACAGGTGTGGTGACTTACACCTGTAATTCCAGCACTTTGAGAGGTGGAGGCAAAAGCATTACCTGAGTTCAGGGGTTCAAGACCAGCCTGGGCAACATAGCAAGACCTTGTCTCCACAGTAAATAAAAAATCAGTTGGGTATGGTGGCACATGCCTGTGGTTCCAGCTACTTGGAAGGTTAAGAAGGAAGGATCATCCAAGCCCAGCAGGTTGAGGTTGAGAACAGGGATTCAAGACCATCCTAGGAAGACCTTGTCTCATCTCTACAATAAATAAAAAAATTAGCCAGGCATGGTGGTGCATGCCTATAGTTCCAGTTACTTGAAAGGCTGAGGCAGAAGGATTGCTTGAGTCCAGCAGGTTGAGGCTGTGGTAGCTGTGATTGTGCCACTGCATTGGGAGGCAAAGGCAAGACGATTGACTGATCCCAGGGGTTTGAGACCAGCCTGGGTAACTTAGTGAGACCTCGTCTCTACAATAAATTAAAAAATTACTTGGACATGGTGGCACGTGCCTGTCCAGGTCAAGGCTACAGTGGGCATGGGGTGCACACCTGTCATTGCAGCTACTTGGGAGGCTTAGGTGAAAAGACTGCCTGAGACCAGGAGGTCGAGGCTACTGTGAGCTATGATCATGCCGGTGCACTCCAGCCAGGGTGACAAAGTGAGACCCTGACTCAAAAATAGTAATAATAGCAAAGCTCATAGCAATCCCATGAAATGGGCTCAATAGTTCTGAATTTAATGAAAACCCTAAGGTTCAGAAAGCCTAAGTCATTTGGTAGCATGTATTGGGGTAAATATCTGCATCCATGTCTAACCCCTGAGATCCAGTTATAACCACCGTGCCACTTGCTCAAAGTCACCAAACTCCCCTACCTGAGCCTGCAGAGGTCTGCGTGGTCCCCCATCCAGGACAGCAGCTCTTGAACCAACATGTCCCTGAGCAGATCTTCAGCACTGGGGTTCTTGGGTGGGGAACTGCAAGAGAGATAGCCTCCAGCAGACTTTCAGCCTGGGCCTCACCCAGAGAGAGTAAACACAGGGCCTGGGACAGTGAGGGGCAGCCGCGGATGGGGGCAGGGAGTCAGCACAGCTGCCTGGCAGTTAGCTCAGCTTTCAGATCTGGAACCTGCCCCACCCAGCACTGCCTGTCCGAGGGACACGGACTCTTCATACAGGCAAAAACAGAGTTCTGGTGGAGGTCGGGTGCAATGCCTCACACCTGTATCTGAGTGCTTTGGGAAGCGGACACAGGAGGATTGCTTGAGCCCAGGCGTTAGAGACCAGCATGGACAACATAGTGAGACCTTGTCTCTGAATAGTAATAATAATAATAATAAGACCAGGCATGGTGGCTCACACCTGTAACTCCAGTACTTTGGAAGACTGAGATGGGAAGATTGCTTGAGGCTAAGAGTTTGAGACCAGCCTGGACAACACAGCAAGACTCTGTTTCTACTAAATAAATAAATAAACAAACAAGCAAACAAATACATACATATGTAATAATAATAATAGAATGCTTGTGTGAGATATTCCACCCATCCACCTCTGAAAGTATTTAAGAATGCATTCCAAGAGTATTTTGGGAACATTCACTCTTTGGGATGATCTGTGCCACTCAGAGAGGTGGTAACTGATCTCAGGGGCCTGGCCTTGGGAGGATTCCCCCTTTCAGAAACAGGTTTCCTGAAGGATGGTGGGAAGAAGGAGGCCAGGTCCCGAGATCTCTTCCCTTCCCTCCCCTCTCTGCCCCTCTCCTTGACTCAGTGAATCTGTCTGCACACAAAGACATTCATCTTTTTATTTTTTTTTGAGTTGGAGTCTCACTCTGTCACCCAGGCTGGAGTGCAGTGGCCACTCCCGGCCACTGCAGCCTCGACCTGCTGGACTCCGGCGATCCTTCCACTTCCACCTTCCAAGTAGTTGAAACTACAGGTGCATGCTACCACGCCCGGCTAATATTTGATTTGTTGTAGAGACGAGGTCTCACCAAGTTGCCCTGGCGGGTCTTGAACCCGTAGGCTCAGGCAATCCACTCACCTCGGCCTCCCAAAGTGCTGGGATTACAGGCTGAGCCACCAAGCACAGCCAAGTCATTCATCTTAGAAATCCTGGCCCAGAAACCCCTGTAAGGCCCCTCCCCTGTTCCTCAAGGCTCCCCGAAGCTTGGGCTGACCTCCAGACGGTGTTCAGTGAAGATCCCCCTCTGAACTCTGAGAGGAAAAAGAGGCTTACCACAGGTCCTTGCTCTCACTGGAGTCAGGGAGAGGGAGCAGAGAGGTGAGGGCAGGGTTGAGGCTCTGCCCCCTCCCTTCCTCGCAGACAGACTCACCTTTGCTCCTCCCCAGCCTCCTCATTCCCGTGAGACGGACTGGCCAGTTCTGGACCCTGGATGTCCCTCTGGGTGATGTTGTGTTTCCAGCTGGTAAGGGAAGATGAGGGAGTGGCTGGGCTGGGGGAGATGACAGTCCAGGGACACTTGACTCTGGGTAACTTTTATTTTTTTTTTCTGAGTAAGAGTCTCATTCTGTCACCCTGCCTGGAGTGCAGCAGCACGCTGCTCACTCCTACCACAGTCTCAACCTGCTGGGCTCAGACGATCCTTCCGCCTCAGCCTTCCAAGTGGCTGGAACCACAGGCATGTGTCATCATGCCTGGCTGATTTTTTGATTTATCATAGAGATGAGGTCTCACCACATTGCTCAGACTGGTCTTGAACCTCTGAGCTCTGGTAATCCTCACACCTCCGCCTCCCAAAGGGTCAGGATTGCAGGTGTAAGCCACCACACCTGGCTAACTTTTTTATGTATTGTAGAGATGAGGTCTCACCAAGTTGCTCAGGCTGGTCTTGATCCCGTGGGCTCAGGCAATCCTCTCGCCTCCACTTCCCAAATTGCTGGGATTACAGGCATGAGCCACTACACCCAGCTGTGAATCTTTGGTACCTTGACCCTCAGGAATAGAAGGCCCCCTTCTACTCAGACTCCCACTATCCACCAGGGAACAGCTTTCCAGAATCTACCCTGCTGACCCAACAAAGAAGGCAGGGAAAGAGACTTGGCACAAAGAGGAAGACAGATGAGGGCAGGCAACCCTACATCCAGAACGAAACAGCTCAGATGCTCCTGGCTTTATCTAGCCCCCTGGGATCCTCTCTGAGCCTCCACACATTTTCCAACTCCTCATAGAAGCCAAGAGTTGGCAAATAGTCCTGGTCCTGTTCCTAGACTGGACTGCTGTCTGAGTCAGGTTTGTGACCAGGGTTGCCATGTCTCACTCCCCATCGTGGTCTGGTGAAAGGTGCCACTGGACTGTACATCACATGGCCCATGTGGCCAAGGATGGTGGCCTGGTCCCATGGTACAGGAGGGGGCACGTGGAACAACTCACTGATTCTTCTTCCCCTTCTGGGCCAGCAGCCAGTTCACAAAGTCTTGCTGGCGGATCTTGTCCATGGCAATACTGTAGTCACTGATGAAGGTCCCCTCGGCATACCTCGGGCCTCGGGGGCTGCTCACTCCAGCATGGGATCTGAGGGGCAGGGAGGGGAGAGAGCTAGAAACCAGGATGCTTGAGAAGAGCAGAGACGGGGGCTCACAATGCCAGGATAGTTGATTGTCACTCACGGGAGGCCGATACCTGAAAACCAAGCAGCCCATTTCCTGGGAGTCATGTTGTATAGAAACACCCTGAGGTCAGTGGCCGCATACCCTGGGACACTATCCTCAGCAAGGGCCCACTTCCTACAACCTCAGTCTGTGTGGCTCTGGGTTCTGGGGTCCCCCTGCCCCAAAGGACTGAATCTCACAGTTCCTTCTGTTATTCCTCCTGCCCTGGCCCTGATTCAGCTCTTTGGTTCATGTTCAATAATAATAGCAGTGAACTCATGTAAAGTTACTCACTATGACTCGGGTATTCTATAAGCCCTCCTTCCATCCCCTCCTTTTTATTACGTTTTATTTTGTTTTGTTTTGTTTTGTTTTTTGAGTTGGAGTCTCACTCTGTTGCCCAGACTGGAGTGCAGTGGCCGCTCACTGCAGCCTTGAACCTCTGGGGTCAAGCCATGCTCCTATCTCAGCCTCCCAAGTAGCTGGGACTACAGGTGCACACCACCATGCCTGGCTCACATTTCTTTCTTTTTTTCTTTTCTTTTTTTTTGTAGAGATAAAGTATTGCTATGTTGTCCAGGCTGGCTTTTTTTTTTTCTTTTTTCTTTTTTGAGACTGGGTCTCGCTTGTCACCCAGGCTAGGCTGCAGTGGCACGATCATAGCTCATTGCAGCCTCAACCTCCTAGACTCAAGCGAACCTCTCACCTCAGTTTTCCAAAGTGCTGGGATTACAAATGTCAGCCACCATGTTTGGCCTATAAGCCCATAAAATCACTTCATCTTCCCAGCACCTCTGTGAGGTATATCCTATTTACACCTCTATTCTGTGAATGAGAAAACTCAGATACAGAGATTGATTTACCAACCATGTAGGTGGCAGATCCAGGATTCATGCCCCAGGGCAGGCTGGGATCTGGTCTAATTTTTTTTTTTTTTAAGAGATGAGGTCTCACTATGTTGCATAGGCCAGTCTCTAACTCCTGGGCTCAAGCAATCCTCTTGCCTTGGCCTTCCAAAGTGCTGAGATTACAGGCATGAGATACTGTGTCCCAGTCTTTGGGTCTATGTTTTTTGTTTTTTGTTTTTAGTGGCTCACATCTGTAATCCCAGCACTTTGGGAGTCCTGGGTCTATGTTCTTAACCTGTACATGATGCTGTCTCTGTCTTTCTCTTTGTACAAGGTTCTGACAACCATGGCTCAGTTTACAAATTACATGTGCCAGAGTCACACGGGCATATGGTTTAACCTTGCATCTGAGAAGATCTGACTCTTTACCCAGTCTTTCTTGGTCCTGAAAACACAGTCAGAGCCCCCTGCTAGCTTTGTTCCTGGGATTCCCTGTTTTCCTCATGGGACTCATGACAATTGGCAATGTGCCCATGGGATGCTGGGTCTCTTTCCCTGAGTCTGTGTGCTCCATGTAAGCAGGAGGCATGTGTGGGCTGCTGTCCACATGTGGTGCACAGGGGCCGTGGTGCACAGGGGCCGGCTCTGAAATGTGATTGACTACATGCATGCATGAGTGGTTAAGCCTTTCGTTAGGAAGGGAGAGTCTGCCATCTTCACACACTTAACCATGGAGAAGTCCTTCTAGAGATCTAACCATAGTCTGTCCTGCTGCGATAGAAGCAGATAACGAATACTCTGATGCTGGGCTTTCTCCGCCTTCCCTCTGCTAGTTCCTTTCCCTGTCTCCCACCAGCTTTCTTTCTCTTAGCCCGGGATCCCCTCTTTTTCACCTCCCCCTTGAAATGAATCCAGAACCCAGTCATCCCCCCAGCCCCTCCCCTGCCCTGCTCCTCCCTCCCCATCACCCCTACCTGGAGTGACCCTCTTCCTTCTCTCCCAGCCCCACTGCCAGGAATAGGAACACCAGCAGCAGAGACAAGGTCTTCACGGCTGCCATCTCCCACGGTTATTTCCTGAGCTAGGAGAGAAAATGGCCAGGACATGCTGAGGGAACAGCCGAGGGAGGCTAGGAGGGATTGGGACCTGGGGTTTGCAACTATTTTTTTTGAAGTAGGGGTCTCACTGTGTTGCCCAGGTTGGAGTACGGTAGCACATTCACAGCTCACTACAGCCTCAACCTCCAGGGTTCAGGCAATCCTTCCGCCTCATCCTCCCAAGTAGCTGGTACTACAGGCATGCGCCACCATGCCAGGCTAATTTTTTTGTAGAGACAAGACCTCGCTATTTCGCCCAGGCTGGTCTCAAACTCCTGGGCTCAAGCAATCCTCTTGCCTTGATCTCCAATGCTGGGATTACAGACATGAACCACCACACTTGACCAACATTCAATTTATTTTTAGTAGAGATAGGGGCTGGGAGGCAGGTCTCAAACTCCTGGCCTCAAGGGATCCTCCCATTGTGACTTCCCAAAGTGCTGATACTACAGTCATGAGCCACCATGCTGGCCTGGGTTTGGACCTTTTCTTTTTTTTCTTTTCTTTTTTTTTTGAGTTGGAGTCTCACTCTGTTACCCAGACTGGAGTGCAGCGGCCACTGCAGCCTCAACCTGCTGGGCTTGGGCGATCCTTCCACCTCAGCCTTCCAAATAGTTGGAACTACAGGCGCACGCTACCACACCCGGCTAATTTTTGATTTATTGTAGAGATGAGGTCTCATCAAGTTGCCCAGGTGGGTCTCAAACCCGCGGGCTCAGACAATCCACTCACCTCGGCCTCCCAAAGTGCTGGGATTACAGGTTGAGCCACCGAGCCCAGCCTGGATATTTCTCAGAGGTTGGAACAACTCTTTGGAGGGGGGGTGGTGCTGTGCACTAGAGTTAGTGACCAGAAGGGCCATGGAGCCTGACAAAGAGATGAAGCAGCTTTTTGTTTCGTTTTAAATAAAGTCTGAATCAGGTTGAAGGAGGGTGAGGGAGTAGAGTCAGGCAGAAACACTCAGTGAAGACTGGAGTGTCTGGATGCTCCCTTCCCTGAGCCCAGTGGCCAAACACCATAGGCTTATGGTTTGGCAACACTGTCCCCTTAGGACCCTCTGAAGTTCCTATCAGCCTCCCTGCCTTCAAATCATCTGTTCTTTACATCACCCCAAATGAAAACCACACACTATCCTATTCTTTCCTTTCTCAGGCTTAACCAGGTCCACTCAGGGAAGTCCTTCCCTGAAATCTGGCCTAGACCCTTCTTCAAGGGCTCAACTCATTTCATCTGATGGGTCTTCAGTTGAAAAGAACAGTGAGGAACATTCCTCCCTAGCCTTGAAAGTCAAAGCTAACACTTTGGGAGGCAGAGGTGAGAGGATTGCCTGAGCTCGGGGGTTTGAGACCAGCCTGGGCAACTTGGCAAGACCTTGTCTCTACAATAAATCAAAAAATAAGCCGGGTGTGGGGTAGTGCATGCTTATAGTCCCAGCTACTCAGAAGGCTGAGGAAGAAGGATCACCAGAGCCCAGCAGGTCGAGGCTGTGGTGGCTGTGAGTGTACTACTGCATTTCAACCTGGGCGACAGAGTGAGACTCCTACTCAAAAAGAAAAGAAAAGAAAGCCAAAGCTAGACCTAGAGGTATGTGGACAGCAAGACCTGATCTTCCTGCTTTGATCATGTAGGTGTTAAATGAACCATCAGAGCTCCCTTCATTTTTTTTTTTTTTTGAGTTGGAGTCTCACTCTGTCACCCAGACTGGAGTGCAGTGGCCGCTCCCGGCCACCGCAGCCTCAACCTGCTGGGCTCTGGCGATCCTTCCACCTCAGCCTTCCAAGTAGCTGGAACTACAGGCGCGCGCTACCACTCCTGGCTGATTTTTTGATTTATTGTAGAGATGAGGTCTCGCTGCCCAGGCGGGTCTTGAACCCTCGGGCTCAGGCAGTCCACTCACCTCGGCCTCCCAAAGTGCTGGGATTACAGACTGAGCCACCGAGCCCGGCCCCCTTCATTTTTCTTTTCTTTCTTTCTTCTTTTTTTGAGTCAGGGTCTCATTCTGTTGCCCAGGCTGGAGTGCATTGGCACGATCACATCTCACCACAGCCTCAACATCCTGGGCTGAGGTGATCCTCCCCCTTCGGTCTTCTGAGTGCAGGTGCATACCACCACACTGGGCTAATTTTTTTTTCCCTTGAGTTGGAGTCTCACTCTGTGGCTCAGGCTGGAGTACAGTGGCAGGCTCACAGCCACTGCAGCCTTGACCTGCTGGGCTTAGGCAATCCTTCCACCTCCACCTTCCAAGTAGCTGGAACTACAGACACATGCCACCACGCCCAGCTAATTTTTGTGATTTACTGTAGAGACGAGGGCTCACCAAGTTGACCGGGCTGGTCTCAAACCCCTGGACTCAGGCAATCCTCTCACCTCAGTCTCCCAAAGTGCTGGGATTACAGGCTGAGCCAGCATGCCTGGCCTGGGCTAATTTTTTGTAGAGAGAACATCTTGCTATGTTGCCCAGGCTAGTCTCAACTTCCTGGGCTTAAGCAGTCCTCTTGCCTTAGCCTCCCAAAGTGCTGAGATTACAGGCTTGAGCCACCACACCTGGCAGAACTACCTTCTTATTTCTCCTGTGGAGAAAGGGCAAGTGAGATTCCAGGTGCTGGTACCACAAGGCTGCCAAGATTCATCCCCTCTCAGATCACCTCGCCCACCCCGCCTTTGCTCTTTTCTTACCAGACTTCCTCTCTGGCTCTTTTAGAAGGACAGGTTGGGGGTCTCTTCCTCCCAGTCTCGACTTTGGAGGTTGCTGAAGAAGCCCGGCCTGGCCCCCTTATATCAGGAGCCACAGACCTGCTGATTAGCCTTAAAGCGTCTTATCTCAAGAAATTAAGCCCACGGCTCCTGCCACATTAAGTCCATTTTACACGTAATAGAGTTGCCCTTTCCACCTGAACTGCACTAATTGGTGATTAACATTTGGATATCTCTGACTGCTGTCGGGGGCCCGCCTGTGGGTAGGTACCCTAAGTACCCCCTTTCTTCTTCCTCCTCCCCCGCTCTGGGCACAGGGCCCACTCATCCTCCGTGCCCTACTTCCTTGATCACGGCCCTCAGTTAGAAAGGATGCACTTGAGGCAGGGGGCACTAACTGGTGGGGCATGAAGGGCTCTTTGTGTGTGTGTGTTGGAGTCTCACTCTGTCACCCAGGCTGGAGTGCAGGGGCACACTCACGGCCACTGCAGCCTCAACCTGCTGGGCTCAGGCGATCCTTCTGCCTCAGCCTCCCAAGTAGCTGTAACTACAGGTGTGCACCACCATGCTCGACTAATTTTTTGATTTTTATTGTACAGACAAGGTCTCACCAAGTTCCCCAAGGTAGTCTCAAACCCCTGGGCTCAGGCAATCCTCTCGCCTCTGCCTCCCAAAGTGCCGGGATTACAGGGGTGAGCCACCACACCTGGCGCAATGGGGCCTCTTGCAAGGCAATCAGCTACCTCTGGGTGGGAGACAGTGGGACTGCAGTCACCCGAGCCCTGCTCAGGAGAGTGGCCTATGGTCCTGGTGATGTGGCAATGCCCCGCCACAATATCCAGGACACAATAGAGGGGGTGTCCCAGCAGTCTGGGGAAAGGGCTCGAGAATATTGCAGGACCCTGAAGGATGGGGGCCTCCTAGTTCCTGCTGGATGAACTGAAAACTTACACTCAAGTCATCTTCCTGCTTAAAGGCAGGATATTGGTGGGAGACAGAGGCACGTTTGTACCTTGAGATCCCAGAGGAAGGCAGGGCAGCAACAGCTCAGTCTTCAAAGATTTAGGGCCAGGTGTGGTGGCTCACACCTGTAATCCAAGCACTTTGGGAGGCGAGAGGATTGCCTGAGCCCATGAATTCAAAACCAGCCTGGGCAACTTGGTGAGACCTTGTCTCTGCAATAAGTTAAAAAAAAAAAAAATTAGAGCTGGGCATGGTGGCTCACGCCTTTAATCCCAGCACTTTGGGAGGCTGAGGTGAGAGGATTGTCTGAACCCAGGGGTTTGAGACCAGCCTGGGCAACTTGGTAAGACCTCATCTCTACAATAAGTCAAGAAATTAGCTGGGCATGGTGGTGCGTGCCTGTAGTTCCAGCTACTTGGAAAGCTGAGGTGGAAGGATTACTTGAGCCCAGTAGGTTGAGGCTACGGTGGCCATCAGCATGCCAACTAAAAAAAAAAATTGACCAGGATTGGTGGCTCAACCTATAATCCCAGCACTTTGGGAGGCCGAGGTGAGTGGATCGCCTGAGCCCGCGGGTTTGAGACCCGCCTGGGCAACTTGACGAGACCTCATCACTACAATAAATAAAAAAACGCGCGTGCCTGTAGTACCGGCTACTTGGAAGGCTGAGGTGGAAGGATCGCCAGAGCCCAGCCAGTCGAGGCTGCGGTGGCCGGGAGCGTGCCACTGCACTCCAGCCTGGGTGACAGACTGAGACTCCAACTAAAAAAATAATAATAATAATAATTAGCTGGGCATGGTGGCACACACCTGTAGTTCCAGGTACTTGGAAGGTTGAGGTAGAAGAATCACCTGAGCCCAGTGGGTCGAGGCTGCGGTGGCCGTGAGCATACCACTACACTCCAGTCTACAGAGTGAGATGCCAACTCAAAAAAACAAAAGCAAAACCAGACAAGTATGTGGTCTTATCTCCACCATCAGAGTGGGACCCCCGAGGTAATGCTGCACCTCTCTACACTGATCAACTGGAGGGCTCTCCAGACAGGGGCTTTCTCTTCCAATCAAGCTGGGAGCTCTTTGAGGGGAGCATACTGAGGCTTCCTGAGGCCAAGGGCTGTGTTTTGCTCATGGCCACTACAGCCTCAGCCTGCTGGTCTCAGGTGATCCTTCCACCTCAGCCTTCCAAGTAGCTAGAACCACAGGCATGTGCCACCTTGCCTGGCTAATTTTTTTGATTTATTGTGGAGATGAGATCTCTCCAAGTGGCCCAGGCTGTGCTTGAACCCTGGGCTCAGGCAATCCTCTT